AAACATCTGGGGACCCAAGGTTTGCAAGCACTGCTTTATAACATAATTAATTATTAGCTTTTTGCGTTTGGTCCAAAAACATCTGGGGACCCAAGGCACTGCTCTATAACATAATTTATTATTAGCTTTTTGCAGTCATGATACTTTTATTTTACTAACCTATAAAACTCAGGTGTGATCATCTATTCCAGTAAGTTTGCAGAATCTGTTTATTCGCTAGAACCCCAAGAACAACCATCTTGGGGGAAAGTCATACATGTCATACATGTAGAATTAACTTCAAGCATAAGAATTAGTTTTGAGCACCAGAAATGAAGGGAATCCCCACCCCAAATCCACTCCAGCAAGGTTATCCCAAGCTTTCTGTAATTTAGCACCATAATGGGGGAAAGAGGGGAATCTGTTTGCTCTTGGTTAAGCTGAAAAGTCTAGTATCAAAATATCTTACAGATGTACTGCAAATCACACAATTCAGAATCTGATTAATGTACAGTATATGTTTGTATAAGAGCAATAGTGTAAGCATTTTCCCAGCAGGGTGTCCTCTGATACATGATCTTCCATAGTGTACCCTGCAAAACAGGGTACACAACTGCACAAATGGGAAAAACTACTGCATGTTTTTCATTCCACACCTGGTTCTTCCCCAAATAGCTTCTGACTTCAGATACATACCACGACATTCTGATCTACCTTCTGCCTACCTGACGTATACTACCTGATGTATTTCACAGATCATATAGTTCAAAAAGAATTCATATTTAGAAAATGTAAAAGTTCTAATTTCTTCGTTAATTTTTCAAATGGATAGATTTCATAATATATCCATTAGACATTCCTAGAATGGTTTTCTCATTTTAATTCTATTATTATATTTTAAAAGTTTATTTTTGCATATATAATTTATTGGACCATTAAAAGCATATTTTAATATTTTAATATTATTTAGCACCCCTTTATTTGATTTTCACTTTTCTTCTCTCACTTTGGAATTTCTATTTTAATATCTTTATTAAAATTATTTGCTAGTTTAATAACTTGCCTCCTTTGTCTAGCAGACCACCACAGCTGTACTAAGTTATTAACTATAAGCAACTGAGAGGGCATGAAGACCAAACAGCAAAAAATACTGGATTATGGAAATGAACTGAATTACGGTAATTATAATGAAACAAACACCTACGAAACAAGGAGTAGATAAGAGATAAAAAAAGAGGAAAGGTGGTTTTTTTAAAAAAGAAAAGGCAGGAAAACATGTAAGAGCAATATTAGGAAAAAAACAAAATCAAATCAATTGGGAAAATGTTGTTGGTGTTACATGCTATCAAATCATCCCCAACTTATGGTGAATAACAAAGGGAAAAATAATAATTAAAAAAGGGAAAATAAAGTTATTAGCAGAATGAACAAATAAAGTAACAAAATTAAAAATAAGAAAGAAGCAAGTTGAGACATTTTAAATGCTTCTCCAATAATTATTTCTGCGTCATTTTAAAGAGGACTTCTCCAATGGTTGCTATTTCATGCCCCTATTTTCTCTCCCTGAGAATCTAGTGAGATCTATGAAAAAGACAATTTAATCAAGGACTACCTCACGCTCAACCGTTGCAAAACTTTCTCCAGGGTGTAGTACCTTTTGCTTTACAGAAAGAGAACAGTTACCGTACAGGCAGACTACATGCTCACAATCCATGAGGGGCTGTTTTCATTTCATGGCTTCACAGAAGTTAGTAATGGCAAAAAGTACTCATTGAGTAGGCATGTGATTAACCCGTCATAATTATCAAGAAACTGAAAATAATAGGTGGAGTTAAGACAGGGAACATACAAAAGAAGAGTCAAAAAGTCCAGCAAGGATTCAATATCCCAAGAAAATGATAACTTTGCAACTATGTCACTTAAAATGTTGGATGTGATCTCATGTACAAAACTGCAACCCCATGCACACTTACCTGGGAGTAATTCTTACAAGAAACAACCAATGTTGACCTAAATATCCTGAAGATTGCAATGCATATGCTTTTAGCTCTGTTGGACAGTAATTTTAATAGCCCAATTTGATCTCTATGCTTTCTTCCCTCCCTCTCTGAACAAGAACTGTCTGCCCTTTCCACAACATCTACATGTATCATTTTGAATACAGAATGGGTCAGAGAAGGGCTTTCTCCACTCCTGACACCCAGTGTGTCCTGGAGATGTTAGGTTAAGTTGTCTCCGATTTCAAATAAGAAGAGCAGAATATAAATGAATCTTATGCTATCTGCCTATTGAACACTGGTTTAGCGAGCAAATTGCTTAATCTCAGTTCCCATTACTCAACACAGAGATTCTTACTTTTAAAAAAATCTCTCCCATTTAATAATGCAGACAGAATGCAAAACGATAATCAATAATGTCTTCAGACCAATGACATACGCTGCCACTCCAAATGCCTAAATAAAGCAGGTTGACTGTTCCTGAATGAGAGTAAAAACTTTCATCCTTTCTTCCGAATTTGTTAGTGTGGATTCCACACACACTGCCATTAAAAACAAATGCTATACATAAGTGAGTGTGAATTCCAGCACATGAAGAATATGAAACTTATACATCAGTTTTGTTATCCCAACATACAACTGTACATGTAGGAGTAAACAGCACACTGAGCTATTGCATGAAAATTAAATGATTCTGAAATTTAACAGAATCATTGCTCCTTCTAATTAACATTCTAATTAGCAGAATGTTATTAAGATCAGGACTTTAATCTCGTTTGTAGAAAAATGAATGTAACACCTTGAAACATGGGGTACTGCGGCATGCGCTTTAGCAGGCAAAAGATAGCATTAGCAAAAGAAATTAAGCCCCACCTTTGAAATGTAAATCAACTTCTGCATACATGCAAAATAGGCCACATTCTGGTCATCCGCCATTTGACATGAGCAATCTGACTGAGAATCAGAGTATCATCCCTTTATGCTTTTTATCACAGTAAGAATGAACTAAAATTAGAAATTTCCTCCACATTTTTTCACTGTCCATCTTTGATCATCACCATACACAGACATCTGTAATACTGCCAGGCGTTTGTTAAATACAATAATGCCCATACTAAGGCAACACAAACTTGGAGCTGGCAGCCATACTATCAGCAAGAACTTGGTGATAAAACCAAGGATGATTGATCAGAATTTCTAGAAGCACTGTCAAAACTCCAAAGTAACGTATTGTCTTTTTAAATCCTTCCAAAATAAGGCCAGCTTGTGTCAAAGAGAGAAATCCTCAAAGCCTTTTTTCCAAATAACTTTTTAAACAGTATTTTCAACATGTTTCAACACTTTTTATTACCGCATATTCGGAGAACCAGTTTGGGGCTTCTGTTGTTCAGCACAGAAGTCAAAATTATTACTTACCAGTCCTACATTGTGTGCCTCATGCACCCTGAAAACCCTGTTAGGGTTGTTAGAAGTTGGAAGCAATTTGATGGCATGTAACAACAGCCAAATTTCAAGATAGTTGGGCCAGGCTCTTTGAAAGCACCTCCTTACTTGAAGGCAAGTTCCACTGAAATCAAGGGAACTCCCTCATTGAGGAAGTAAGCATGGACAGAATTACATGCACTTACCTCAATGGGACTCTGTGGAGTTACTAGGGAATAAACTCCACTAAAGAGCAGAACTACACATGTAGCATTACACTGTAAACCTGCTTAAATTAAAAAGAGAGTGGCACAACAATATGCCAGAAGAATACATTTAAGCTTTCAAAACTGTGCACAATCTACCAACAACTGTTCACATAGAACATCCATTTGTTGTTTTGTTCAAATAATTACATTTTATTCAATGGGACTTGCCCCAAAATACTGTGTCTTAAGTAAGGAACTTCTCAATACTTGAAGCTGTCAATTTTTTTTGTCCAGGTTGCAACATAACAACATAGCTATTTACTACATTTTCCATTTCTGCAAGCACTCACACATTGCCCAACCTTGTTATCCTGATTAGGAACTTATTTTTTACTAAGTGCATTAAAGAGACAGCAATAAATGACCGAGAGAGCTTTACTTTTCTTTAATTTCTTTCTCCATTCCTGAAATCAGTTCAATTGCTCACCCAACTGCATTATAGCAATCCTGCTACAGGACATTCACAAAGCAACTGTTGCTAGAAACCAAGGAATAATGCCGAGCAGTTCTCACTTAACTGAAAAGCTACTCCCTTAAACTTCTCCAGCTGTGGTACAGAACAGATGCTCCCCAGGACCCCATACCTTTTGGAAAGTCACTTCTTCACGTCGCCTTTTTCTTTTGCTGCCTTTTCTGGCTCTCCGATTTACTTGCATCCATTTTACAACCTACAGGTCAAAACCATAGGGCTTTTTAAAGACGCAACCTGAGTGCAACTCTTCAGCATGAGTAAGAAACTATAAACAGACGCAAGACACATTTTTCCATTGCTTCACTGGAAAAGGAAAAGAAGGGAGGAGGGAAGAGGGGGTGTGGGAGAATATTTTTTTCCAGTCTACAGTATCATGGTTTAGGGCAATCCGTTTAGCTACTCATGCCCCGCCAAAAATAGTCCCTCTCTTTTCACCTTCACGTTTCACGTTTTGTCTGAGTTTCACACCTGGGCAACAGGACACTTCTTGAAGCATAAAAGGCAGGATATCAAAAGCGTTTGATTTGCTGCTTGCACAGCCGCACCTTCCTGAAAACGATTCCCAGAAATGAGTAGGACATTCTTAGGAGGAATACCTCCTGATCCGAGTGAAACTGTTTTTGCGTTCCTGTCAACATTTTACAGAAAAGGCTCTGCTGCTGCCCATTCTTCACACCTTCAGCCTCAAGGTTCAGATTCTCTCTTAAATCACACTCGCAATTAAGAGATTGCCCTTAATCTAATGTAAACAAACAGCACTTTTGCAAGCGACACCTGATACACACAGATACCTACAGTCGCAAGAAAACATCAGAGGAAAACCAGAGACGCTTAGGAGTATCGCAAAGAAAAAGGTGTTACCTCGTTCCTCACTTGCTGGGCTAGCCGACACTCCCGCCAAGCTTGACACTCTTCCAGCAAAGGCTAGAAGACAAATGAAAACGCAAGTTTACTCGGGGTTGCTCGGAGAGATGCGATCCTTTCTTTCCCCTCGCCTCCAAAACCCCCAAGGCCGGCTGTCCTTCCCGATCGGCGGCCACCGGCTCGGATCTGGTTCTACGCGTCAGCACCCACCGCTCTTCACCTCTCCGTGATTTCCTTCCCCTCCGAGCCGCGGGAAACCGGGAGGCTCTGAAACCGGGAGGCTCTTTCCACCCCCCCCCCCCCCCCCCCCCGTCGCCGCCGCCGCTCGCGCAAGGCAGCCGCCAAAGTCGTCCCAGGCTTGTCGCTCGGCTGTGCGAAGAAGAAAAGGCTACCTTGCCTCCGCGCCTCCCTCTCGCCGGCTCGGCTGAAGGGCAAGACCCTCTTCCCCCGGCTGGGGGAAGCGCCTTCCCTTCACCCGGGGATGTAGCCCCCCGTGCGTGCCTTCTCGCGGTCGGACGCCCCTCCTGGCCGCCTGTTCGGGGCTGGGGAGGGCAGGCTGCCGCCGCCGCCGCTCTCTCTCTCTCTCGTTACAAGGCAGGCTCAAGGGACCTCCTTAGGAAACGAAACACCTCCGAGGGAGAAGGGGGGGACCCCCCCTCCTCGCCCGCCTTCTTCCCGTCCCCGTGCTCCAGCCTCCGAGCAGAGAGGAGAGGAGGAGCTTGCCTTGAGGGGGTGACCGAAGGCCGGGCCAGCGGGGGCTTTTGTTCGGCCGGCCGTCGCCCCAAAGGGGACCCCCTTCCCCAGCCGGGTTGCTCTGGAGAGCAGCTCCTGTGCGCCCCGGCTGGCGCCACCACCCTTCCGACGTGACCACCCCGCCTGCCCGGGCTCCTGGACGCCCTGCCTGCCTGCCTGCCTGCGAGGCGTCGCGTTGGAGAGCGCGGGGCGCTCCGCGGCGGCCCAGCGCCTTCGCCCCCGCCCCGTCGGAGCGCTTCTCAAACAAGCCCTGAGGTGTTTTTCCATTCTGGCCGGCGCCCCACGGAAGATTTTTTTGGGGGAGAGGGAAGAGTCCCAGTGAGAGCGGTTAGTTGGAGGGGGGGGCCCTTGGGACGATGCACTTGGCCGAGACCGATCGAAGTTCAGTCCCTTCCTCGGCCCTGACTCCCCGTTCTTCCCCGTGACTCGGAGCTTTTCTCCGCTTCAGCTCCCCATCTATCAAATGCAAAACGAGCCGTTCAGACGAGAGTAACTCTTGAGTTTAAGCAGCGGCGCAGGGACATAGTGGCTTTGAACTTAAAAGGTTTTAGGGAGGCGAGGTGTGCTCCTGCCGATGGTAATGGCTATTCCTTTGCCTCCGTTAAAGAGCAGAGAAAAAAAAAAGACGGGGTGCAGAAGCAACGGGAGCTGAGCAATGCCACAGATCTCATAAGGCCTTTTCGTTTTACAAGATGATTGGAATGCATTTTCTCCATCTGCCCATCATTATCCTAGTTCCAAGCAGAGGTATTTTCAGTAAACTTTCTGATGATAACTGAAAGTACGTATATAGCAATGCAAAGGGGGATGTGAAATTCCCCTCACCCCACCAACAGCTCCTTGACCTCTATGGAATCCAGAACTGTATCAGATGAATCCCATGGAGACTCTGAAGTGCATCTTGAAAGCAAGCATTAAGTTTGCTTTTTGCACCTGGAATCCTGCCATTTCTATTAGTCATGGGCATTCCACAGCTGACTCCTCCATCAGGCCTCAGTTCGGAAAAGCCTGTGCTTGGCTTTATAGCTCTGCAGTCCTGCATCTTTAACTGGGCATCAGGCGTCAGTACTATTGCTCTAAAGTCTTTGGGGGGAAACATACACAAGATCACTCTATCTGTATGAACATTTTAAACTTACTTTCTTGCACAACTGGTGGCTTCAAGGACAACTCAAACAATAGGAAGGCGCTAGCAACTAAGAACTGGATTTTCAAAAAACTGACATTTAGGCTAATATTTTTGTATTTTCCTGTTTGTAAGTGCCAAGAAGAGTATAACTTCAGGATAATTAGACTTGGCACACATGTCATACATGTTTTTAGAAAGTTCATGTACATGTGCATGCACACACTTAGAAAAAAGTCATATACAGTATTTATTTATGAATTCCCTTGGAAAGGTTAGAAGGGAAATCTTCAGAAAAGTAAGATGGTGATATACCAAAGCAAACTTTCTCCTCTCTTGAATTTGGTGCATTTGCAAACAGATGTCGCAATATAAACGTATGTCAAATGAGAGTTCACTAAATCTTGACCACCTCTTTAACTTTACAGCTTTTAGTTTTCAAAAAGACACTGTCCTGCCCTTTTCTTTATTACCACAATAACCTTCTTTCAAGATCAAAAGCTTTAGATCAAAGCCAAGATCAAACTCTTTTGCTTTAAATAGACACAACACTACCATGAAATGTAAAACTCAAAAAAGAGAGAAAGTCTTAATGGAGGTATCCCACTAGGAAAAAAAAACTTATTTCAGATCTTTATTTTCACTTTCATGGTAGATGCTAAGTAACCATGAAAGCTGTGCTTTCCATGGTCAAAGACAAATGGAAGAATGAATAACGAAACAAAAGAGTATTTCTATCTCTCTCTTTAGTACATTTGTAAATGTCATCAAGGAGTTGCTTTTTGCCATTGCCATGCTAAGAGGTTTGTCTCCATTAACTTCTCTAATGAAAATATTTATAGGCAACTGTATTTTAAGTCTACCCACTAGTAGATGGACTTGCATCTTCAGATGCAATCTTGAGTAGCTTTCTAAAAATTATTATTTATTTATTTATTTATTTATTTATTTATTTATTTGATTTCTATCCCGCCCATCTAGACCAAAGGTCTACTTTCTCCATAATGCTGTTATTGTTTTGACTTGTATACTGCCCCATAGTGCTTAAATCACTCTCTGGTCAGTTTACAACGTAATCATGCAAGGGACACTTTGCACCCCTCTCCCCATGAACTGGGTACTCATTTTACAGACCTTTGAAGAATGGAAGGCTGAGTCAGCTACCTAAATCCATCAGGATCAATCTCAGGTTGTGAGTAGAGGCTTAACTGCAGTACTGCAGCTTAACCACTGGGCCATGGAACTCATTTTAAGGATGGATTAACCCAGTGGTTCTTAACCTTTTTGAAAGAAACGCGCCCCTTGAGCCATTGAGGAAGTTATCATCACCCCCCTCTCCATGGCGCAGTGGTGGTGCCGTGGCGGCACCCACATGGCGCTGCCAAGGGGAGGGTGCGATGATAATTTCCTCAATGGCGGCGCTGGCGTGGCAGCTCCATCGCTCCCTATCACCCCCTTCTGTTCCTTCACCCTCGCGTAGCCCCTTTTCCTTTCATCGCCCCCCTGAAAAATGAAATCGCCCCCTGGGGGGCAATATCGCCTAGGTTAAGAACCACTGGTTTAACCTTTAAGGATAGTTTGGCTAAAAGAAGAATGGGGAAGCTGTTGGTCATATAGGAGGGATTTCTTGTCCCTTAGATACTCTGGGGGCTGCACCAGGGTGGGGAAAATGCATGAGCTGGGGGAAATGCACAAATCGGCGGGGGGGGGGAATCAGAAGTAGCTGATAATCTGCAACAACTCTAGAAAAAAAACGAAGGGTTAACCCTTTTGGTTAGGCTATAGCTCATTTGAAATTTGAACTGCCACTTTTTTCAGCAAAAATGAAAATCTGACAGGTGTTAAAATGAATTTGAGATGATATGTAGCCCAAAGACCACACAATTTCTACCCCTTGGGCTGGACATTATCAGTAACCCAATGTCAGGTGGTGATCTATGCAGTTCAGAAAGGATTTGAAACCAGGTGTCTTAAATACCTTATCAATTACAGTACACCATATATGCTGAACCTGAGTACTGTACTGTGTTCAGCAGGGTATTGACTTCTACCTGAGAATGAGTAATCACAGACTGGGTACAACAGTTAAACTTTTATACCACCTTTTAAAGAAATCCTGATGTTCAATTTAACCTGGACTATAGTTATGGGTTAGACAGGGAGATGTTTTCCAACTATATGTTACTTGGATATTAATTACTGTAACATTTAAACAGCTTGAAAAACTTATTTTTTGGATTATGGGAATTGTCATCCAAAAAAGTATCTTTTCCATGCCATGCATTTAAAGATATATCAATATAAGTATTAAGAACAAGCGCACCCTTGTGAGCCACCTATCCTGTATAGTTCTATGTTTTAAACTAAATAATGCTTTACTGTGGATGCTTGAAGACAAAGTACTTCCAGTACCATTCAGAAGATACGTAAAATGTTCTAGTACCAGAGCAATTAGTAAACCATGTATGATGAGGGGTTAAGCAAATGCAATGTAAGAATATGCAGATGAGCAGGTCTGTCTGGGAAAAAATGCAGCAAAGTTTATTCTGCACATTTATTCTGCACATTTACACAGTACTGTTGTTAATATCCATTCCTTTACTATCAAGAACATTTCAGAGATTTCAAAGGTTTCCATTCTCAAAGCATGATCCTACAGTAATATGATCACTGCAAAAAATGTACTCTCTTTGGCAGAGGTGAGTTATACATTCAAAAAGGAAAATATATTCTTTTCTACAGAGGTCCTTTGGTTGCAAAAGGTTCTCCTCCCAAAAAACTCAAAAGTATCAACACTAGATTCTAAGGCTATGTTAAGATCCTTTTATTTGACCATGTAAGGACACTTGAGCACCTAAGTTAGCAACCAGTGCATTAGTTGGGGGTCTGATATCATGGTGAACATATCTTAGTCCTGACAGAAACTTTTCAAGATTTAGATTTGTGAAGAATTAAGATGCCGTAGACTCTTTAGGTCAGTACACCACTATTGCCGATAAATAGACGAATTGTAGACGAATGTGACAAGCTCTTTTGCTTCTGGTGCAGCAAGGAATGCAGTGCTTGTATGTAAGGTGGGAGGAAAGTAAGATTATTTAGCATAAAATATAAACTTCTCCCACATATGTGTAATTTTGTCTAGTGGAAGGTTTCCTGGAGTATAGGATAATTCTTTTTAATGTTCTTTTTAATTTTCCAGACTGTTGATTTCAGTCTTGCTGCACCCATGTTGTGAGACAGATATGCTCTCGCAGCACTAGAATACAGAATTGCCCTGATATACTGAATGATCCTTTTTGATTCCAGTTGTGATTCTTCTAAATTCACACAAAGACCAAGATCTGATAGGAGTTACAGTGCAAAAAAGACATCTCTCTGTGCCTTTTTGTTTGCACCTGGTACAATCACCGAATGTTCTATGTATGGAAAAATAATAATGCCATGGGTTGTGAGGTACACAGCAATTGAGCCCACACATTTCGCAAAGGGACCAAAAGGAAGTGCATTGAACTCAAATATTTTGTTGTCTATAGCAGAATGCAGGAAACATCAGTATTCTGGATGGATGGTAATATTAAAATAAATGTCCTTTAGATCAATTACAGTAAGCCAGTTCCCTTCTCTGAGGAGGGTAATATGGCTACAAAGATCACCATCCTGAATTTCTTGGTCTCTATATATGAGTTTGCATCTTTTAGGCCTTTAGCACATTTTGGTTTTTACTTAGACTTCGCTCTTTTAGTCTGAGTGGAGTCAGAGTTGGTAGATTTTTCTTTTCTTAGGCACTAAAATCAAAGTTGATTTCAAGGTTGACTTTAAGGTAAATTTCAAGGTTGGGGGTCTGTCCTCAATGTCAGTAGGTGGCATTTGTTGCAGAGGTTCAATTTCTTAGCGAGTTGTGGCCCACTGGGGCCATAAAAGGCAGAAAGGGCCAACCTAGATGAATAACTTTTAAAAAGGAAACAAATATGAAAACAAGACTCATGAATGATGAAGAACATGTAATATTTTATGGGAGAGGGCAAAACATGCAGAAAACTTTGATGAAGAAAAAAGGCTCCAGATGCTCTGCAAGTGTTATCTCAGCAGCAGCTAAAAGGGAACGGAGGCTAGATGGTGGAGGTGGAATGTGTGCCATGGAGAGAAAGTGTGGACTAATGGATCTGTTTTAGTTTCTAGAGCAGTGGTGTCGAACTGTGGCCCTCCAGATGTTCTTGGCCTTCAACTCCCAGAAATCCTGGCCAGCAGAGGTGGTGGTGAAGGCTTCTGGGAGTTGAAGTCCAAGAACATCTGGAGGGCCACAGTTCGACACCACTGTTCTAGAGTGTTCTGAAGATCCCATGCAGGTACAGAAGGGACCCATTGGTATGAATCACAGAGGCGACAAAGTGGGGATTTGGTGAGTCAAAACCATTCATTGCTTTACATCATTTGCAGGCTGTCTGCAGTACTCTGGAAGCACAAGGTGGAATGATTTAAGTAAGATCATAAATAATTCCAATGCCACTATTATTCATGCATGTTCCTCAACACATATTCCTCTACAGACAGAGAAAAACATACATTGCACCAGTGTATGCTTACAACTTCCCACAAACCTACACTGGAGTACTGCTTAGAAATAGGAGAATTATATCTAACAACATTAGAATAACAGTATAAATGAAAGTACAGATTGTGAAATGTCTTGACGAGGTTTATTATATGGATATGTTTATCTTAACTGGTTCATTTGACTTAAATATAAAACCCAACTCTTTATACTTCATATTTTAGAACTAACAGATTTATTTTACAACTGCTGGCCAAGTTGTGCATCTTAAGAAAGCAATGGGTTAATTCATTTTAAAGTGCTGAAGCCCTGCTTGCTCACAAGAAGAATCAATAGAGGACCATCACTGGCATCTCTGTATACCTATTGCAACCACACTGTCTCCACTTCAATCCATCAAGGATCTTCAGTGCTGAAAACAGTCAGTACTGATACACTAAGAAGGTTACGCTGTCAGTAGTGTACTCAGCTGCCTTCTTTTATTGGCATACCAGGAGTCTCTGGAGAATGAAAATCTTGGCAGAGGGAAAGAAAGGGGTGGAGTACAAATACTTACTGTAAATGGGCATGATAAGAATTTCTCCGAAATGGACAAACATCCATTGCCCTGTGGAGTTCGTTATACGACTTAAATAAATTCTGGGAGATCTTTCCTTGCTGCTTAGGGCAATGTGAACCAGCAGGGAGGGACCTGGCAAGTCGAATATTTACCACTATCTAAAATTCTACAGCTACCTCACATTTCTTCCATTCTCGCAGACAACAGCAAAGTACAGTAGCTAATATATATAGTCATGTCATCAACATGTTATTTTGTATATAATTTTGAAACTTGACTTTTGGGAGGGATACTAAAACTCCCAGGATCTTGCAGCTAGCATGGTTAGTGATTCTAGGAGTTGAGGTCTAAAAAGTAACTTCTCTAAGCTGCATGTGTATATGTTTTATTTTTTCTAACTGTGTCATTATATATCAGCCTTTCCCAACTTATCACTATCTTGCTATATTGGACTACAGCCCACATTAGCCCACACAGCATAGCCACTGGTTGTGCTGGATGAGGAGGATGGGGATAGTAGTCCAACACACCTGGGAATGCTGCTATAAGTGAAGAGGGGGGAAAGAGTACATAAACTCAAGTATTTATATTTTGTAAACTGGAAACAAAACAGTTGAAGCACAACAGAAATACTGGGTGGTAGAGAGCAACATATTTCTCTTTTTTGGATGACCGAAGGAAATACAAGCAAGAGTTAACTGTTAGCTAATCTCTTTGCTTTTCCTTGGATGTTTTTGCAAGGCACAGATCAAAACAGACCTTTAATATTATGCAGGATCAGCTGTGTCCGTATTAGGAAAGTCTAGCCCTGCATCCATGTGCAAGAAAGACCTTTCCACTCTCCCCTGTGTGTTTCCACCCTGTGCATACGTAGGTGGGAGAGTGGGAGCTTGGGAATGTGAATTTGATCCAGCATTGACCAGCCAGGCAGCAAACTTTTATTGTTCTGGAGATACCAAACATTTTTCCTTTTTACTAGGGATAAACTTGATCATTCTGCACATAACACAGCTTTTGTGCTCAGCAGTGTGATTAACAGAAAAAGGCGAACCACAAAGAATATTTGAGCTTTATTAAAGCTACCATAAACAACACCTTAGGGATTCAATTCACATGCTTATTCTGGAACAGGAACACATGTTCCCATTTCAAACTCTTGTGTGTAATGCTACCTCCAGTATACTCTACTAGATTTATTTATTTTCCATGAGAAAGGAACCAGTAACTTGTCACAACCAGATTTTCTGCTGTAACCTGCCTAATCTAGGGGCTATGTATGAATGCACAGTGGAAACCAGCCAAGTCTATTCATAAACTGTTGTCCTGAAAAGACCAAAATTAGTTGCAGGTGAATGACTGTCTCAAGCTTCAAAATTAAGACATCATTGTTTTTCTTATGACCAGTGATCAGCTCCAGACTTGGAGGGAACTGAACAGACTAACCGTTAAGCTTCAATGAAGCAGAAAAAAAGGGGCAAATGGTCTCCAATTGATGGGTTATAAGATACGCTTACTAGGCAGAAGGTCTGTTTTGCCAGTTTTTACAAAAAGTACCTGCTCTGCACAAGGGAGTTTTTCAGATAATCACTTTACTCTGACTTTTTTCACCAAGTACAGATCTCTCATATTAAAAAGACCGTGCATCTAAGCTGTGGCAAGAGGAGTAAGAAGAATTACCAAAGATTTCACCCAGGCAAGAACTTTTACTGCTCTGATTATGCTCACCATTTATGCTTTTTTTTTTAAAGCCTTTTAGACAGACAATACTAGACAAAATGAAAGCATTCTTATCAAAGGATACCAGTATCCTTCTGGGAATGGGAATGGTGTTGCACTGGTTCTGATCCTTCCTTGGTGGCTGATCCCAGATGGTACAGTTTAGAGACTGCATTATGGGATCCCACAGGGATCAACCATCTCCACAATACTTTTTAACATCTATAGAAGCTGCTAGGAGAAGTCATTTGGAGTTTTGGCGTGTGCTGTCATCAGTTTGCTGAGGACACACAGCTCTATACCTCCTTTGCTTCATCTGTTCAAGTCTTGAGTGCTGCCTCAATAACCAGACTGGACAAAGGCCAATAAATTGAAACTGGCTCGAGATAAGATGGAGATCCTGTTGTTGGGAAATCTCTCTGGCCTAGATGGAGTTACACTCCCCCTGAAAGATTGGGTCCACAGCTTAATGGTTTACAACCTCAATACTTGTGAGAATGCCTGTTTTACACACTCATCCCAAACCACAATGCTAATGGTGGCCACACCAAGGGAGAGGCCAACAAGATGATGAGAAATTGGGCCTTCTTAGTGGTGAACCCTAGTCCTTGGAATAAATCAAATCAAGTCAAATAAATAAATAAAACAATAAAACTTCCATCTGAGATGCACCATACTCTGTCCCTCCTGACTTTTAGGAAATTATTTAAAACAGAACTTTATAAAGAAGCCTTCAAGAATGTGTCCCCTGTGGTTGTGAACTCTTAATTTTTAAATTTAGGGTTTTAAAAATGGATTGGTCATTGCCATATTGTTTGGGTTTGTATCTGGGTAGTCTTTGGGGAGGGAGTGTTTGCCAGTCTATTCTATAAACCACCCAGAGTACTGGGTGTCACAAGGCCTATTAAACTTAGCATGATTTACTTTTCACTAGTCATGTATAGAGTTTCACTGAGAGTCTCAACATCTATCTGGCAAACATAATCTCAGACTCAGATACAACAATGTTTACAGTTAATTTAGTAATGGACCATCATTTCTTTTATATTAAAAAGGCCAATCTTGCATTAAAATAGTAAACAAATAACAAAAGCAACTGAAACTGTTCCAACACAAATATATCCCCTGTACTGATGAATGGCTGGAGGACAGATTTCTAATAGCTATAATTAGACAATAATAATAGCTAATTATACCTCAGTCCTAATCCATTTTCCTACTCACATTGAAATGTCCAAAACCAGCCAAAACAAAACCAGACATTTGCAGAATAGATCTGTAAGCAGTTACTACAATCTGATTATGGATTCCCATTAGCTGGGAACATAAAGACCATTGTGAGTATCACTTAGCTGAAAAATGTTTTGGGTTTATATTTGGAAAATTGCTATTTGCCTTTGTTTTATTCACTTGAAAAGAGCAGTTCAATGTGGGGCTGAAAAATTACAGCTTTAGTTTACAGAGTTCACATATTCACCACTAACCCTAAAACGTAGCTTCATGTAAGAAATAAAACTATCAGTAGAGAGGAAATGGGGAAAGAATTAAAATAATTCAGTCAGTAAATGCTTCCTTTCCCATGGGGAAGAGAAGCAACTAAAGGAAATTTAGAGAGGCTCTTCAAGCAAAATAATGACCATGTGATTCTCTTCAAGAATCAAATTTGAGGTTATTTGTCATTAAACACTCTGCCTGGATCAACAAAAAGTCATACAATGAGTTGTTGATGTGCAAAAAGGAACTGCAAGATATAAAGGCATAGGAGCCCTGCCATGTGCTTTTTCCTGTTCCCACAAGAGAGGTAAATAAAAAATGATATTTTATTGCAAAATATGACTACGAGTTGGGAGATGTGTGGAATATTCAGGAACCACTGGGAGGCAGTGGGCTAATAATATTGTCATATGGTCTCCAGAAAAATACAAATGAATTCAGGACAACAATTCAAAATAAAAGGACTAATGTGGAAGCATAAGAGAACATTTCCCAATACCTAAAACTCAATTTAGGTTGAAGCTACACTGGAAAGCTGAAGCAGAGAGATTTGGCTTTGCTGAGATTGGAATTCACAGCCTGTATTATGTTTGAAACTGCAGTCAGTGCTCACATAGGAGCTGCAGGTTGATCCAGGAATTCACTGTTCATACAATATGCAATGTGTTTCACATTCCAGCCCACAGCCCCCTTCTTTCCTTCCTTCCTCTAGTCCCACCTCTGCCAATCCTTTCTTCCTTCTCTGGTCCCACCTCTGCCAATGTGGTGGGAGAGTAAATATGGGAAATAATAATAATGACTGAGCAATATGATGATAAGGTGGCCTAGTGCCAACCTCATACATGTAAGATTTTTTTAAAAATAATAATAATAAATTGGAGGATGATCAAGGGAGAGGAAAGAATGTTCCGCCATTTCTGAACATCACACCCCAACTGCATATATCACTGAAAACCCCATCTACAGACACACACCCGATCTTTACAAGAATATATCAAAACTACCCACATGGGAAAAAAGTATGTTCAATTTGTCTAGCTTGAAAAGGTAGAAGCCCCCCAGCAGCAGAGGGGGGAAAAAGCAGCGTGAGAGCACAATGGGCTGGATCCATTCAAATCAGCTTTTACATCATGTGGTCAGTAAAAAAATATTTTCAATTCATTCATTTTATAAATGAAGCAAATCCCACAGTACTTGACCATGTAGTCACAGCCTAAATTAGCACAGGGAGAGGGAGTGATGTATAAGCATACCTTTAAATAAAAAGGAATACTTTTTTTTTACTAGTAAGCTTCAAAACTACAAAACATAGCCCAGTCAATGAAACTATAGAACTAGCTTAGTTTTGACTTGCTTTAAAAGCAAATGATTGTTTAATGTGCACACGACAATTCTGTGTGCATAATACATTCTATTGCTTTTCATGATGGAGTAGTAAATAGATAACAGAAGAGAAAACATGTAGTGAATGAGGAGAGGAATCTTTGTTCGACAATTAAGCCTCAAGAAGTGCAGTTCAAAGAAGGCATAAATACCACAGCTCTTGAGATACAGTATTTAAGAGCATCAAGAGAACAAAAAGAAAACACTGGAAGCATGTATTCCGACAGTGTAGGAGAGGCCTTAGCTGCACCATTACTTAATAGGGGCTTTCCAGCTCTAAAATCAGCTGTTTCTGAAGTCGGTCTGTGTCATTTAAACTCAGTCTGGAGCTGCTGGCATTAAGTCATTATTAGCCTAGTGGAGGATGAAAAGCAGCTCCAGTCCTGCGGTGAGTCACCTCTGAGGCTGCAGTACATCCTGATCTGATAAACAGCAAATTCAACAAGTACAATGTAGTTGACCTCATTTCAACCGGCCCCAGCAAGTTTTGGGAGAATGCCCTCCTGAAATCTTCTGTGTCTGACACAAATGTTTACTTTCCAGCAGACGCATCTGATGCGATGCACCGGAAAACCTTACTGTGATCCGGTCAGGAGGCAGACGGGCTGCTGTGTGTGGCACTCTTCCCTATGGAGAGGGGAAGCTGGAGGCCAATCTGAGACATCTGATTTGCAGCAGAAGCTTTCATAAAGAATTAGGGAGGTTCACCAAACTAGTAATCTCCCTCATTTTGTAAAAGGCACTGTTTTCAGCACAGCAATATGCTTAAATTATACCAATGAAGCAGAACATTGTTATTCCTGGAGGAAAAGAACTGAGAATTGGAGAGGCCTCTGCCTTACTATGCCCATTTTGCAGGACAGGAAACCTAACTTCTCGCCCAACGTGTACAGAGTGGCAGTCAGAATTCCTGTTCATTTTTAGTGTATGAAAATTCATATATCAATTGTGAAAATCTGGCCATACACACACATTGTTTGTGCTAAACAGACAAGACAACCTTAATCCACAAGCTCTGCTCAACAGCTTTGTATTCTTGCACGTTGGGCAATGGGTATTTTTAAACAAAACATTGAGCATCAATGGCTCTATGTATAGAACATCACCGAAAGCTTTGGGCAGTGCTAATGTTGAAGGTCAGCTAACCTGAACCATTTTTTGAAAGGGAGTCCTTATCAGATGACAAGGGAGAACCATCAACAGAAAACTGAAGCCTCTGAACGCTACACCTTACATTGCCTGCTGTGTCTGTTGCAGTCCAGACAACAGCACATTACTGAATGATGGTCATCTCCCCTTTTCTGCCCCCCCTTATCAACACAGGATACATATTATCCATTGCTGTTACACATGAATCAAACAATAATGTACCTAAATTTAAAACATAACCAAACAACAAGGCATAAAATAGTACTGTTCTAAATAAACATGCATAAAACAGGAAACAGCATGCATAAGCTCCTACATATGGAGCTCCTAATTTAGCAATGGGAACTTAGTAGAGAATAGACATTGTTGGATACCACAGTTGAGTTTGTAAACAATAAACACAGCATCTATTACACTGTGGGATTTCTGTTCCCTACTTGGGTGGTGAGTCAACGTAGAAACCTGTTTCTCCTTTGACACTTCCCATCCAACATTAGTTATCCTTTATAATATTAGCTCCTATGTTCTTAATACTTTATGGAGTACATCTCAGTGCTTCAGAATTAACCACTTTCCAAACAAGAAATGTAGAGTTTGTTTTTGTCTTGTTTTTACAAAACTTTATCCTGCCAGCACAATTTTAACAGGTGTACAGTGTTTCAGAATAAGTCCTACTTCATATATAACAGTCAATAAATAAGTGCATTGTACATTTCTTGGAAGTTATTCCCTGCTTCAGCCACAGCAATTCACAAAACTGATACCTTCCATTTTTTAAACAACATGCAAAGTGTCACTAAAATACCTTAATGATATAGTTTCCAGTGAATCGTACATTTAGCAATAAAATAAAGCTTAAGAGATTTTCCTCTTGGCAGCATCTCTTTCAGGAAAACAGAAAATGAAACCTGCAACTGATGAAAATGGATTCCCATATGGGTGCAGAATAAAGACTTTAGGATGGATAATATTAAAACAGGGATTTTACTTTATGCCATACCTGCTACAGCAGAAACAGTAATTTGAACAAGATGCTCAACAAATTCATAATCTGGATCTTATTCAGAACAGATCTTTTGCATTTACCTTTGGGATTCCTGAGCAGTCAAGCCATTTCTGGAGAATGTTTTCAACTGATAGGCCAGACCTTCCAAGAAAATTAAAAAATAACTTTGTTCATGTACTGTCCACAAAATGTATGCTTATAAACAACAGCAGAACGTTTTGGCAGAAAAATCAAGTTTGTAATCTAAATACCAGTCCCTCAAAGTAACAGCATTATTGATTTGTCATTTTAATTAACAACAACAGAGCTGATGAAACCTAAAAATTAAAGGCAGATTGGACTCTGCATGTAAAAATCAAGTGATGAATTTAGTACACATGAGAGCTGACAACATCCATTTAAGAAGCTCAAATAAAACACATGTAAAGAATGAACAGGTGTTCTTGCAGTCAGTATTTTTTCTGTGTGGGTTTTCCTATTCAGTTTGTTCAGTAAATGAAAGGAGGGAATAAAGCTTCATTTTAGTGGCATCAGTTACAAGGGGGGTAAAAACTGCTTGTGAATAATTAATTAATGGATCACAAGAACTTTAGCTTTACACTAACTTTCCCCTGTTTGGTGCCTAAAACCCCATCATTTCCATCCAGCATGCCCATAACCTCCGTTGATTCTCCCAGTGGTTTCAGCTAAGACAGTGGTTCCCAAACTTGGGTTCCCCGTATGTTCTTGGACTACGACTCCCAGAAATCCTGGCCAGAATCATGGTGAAGGCTCCCGGGAGTTTTAGTCCAAAAAGATCTGGGGCCCCAAAGTTGAGAACCACTGAATTAAGAGATGGGCCAGCAGAAGAGACAGAAGGTAGCTTCACTTAATTTTAGGTTAGTTCCCCAAACCACACCCATTTCAGGAAAGTTCCCTTACTCTGAAAAAAGGCCTTTGGGGTGGGGGGTCTTGTAGGTTGCTAGAAGGAGCAGTGACTATGGAAGTTTTCCCTCCCATTCCACACCTTTTTAGGTCCAAGTCCCTATATTTGGATGTCAGCTTTCCCCAATTTACTTAATTTGTTGCTTATAGTGTGCTGCTCATTTGCTGATACAGAACAGTACACTTCACTGCCCCTGCCAGTTCTCATCAATATGTTGGGAGGGACAAATAGATTTAAAACTTGATTAAACTGTTCTAGAAGAGGTAGCAGGAGTGGCTCTATCACCATGCCATCTGTCACGTAAAAGAAACTGTATTGAACTGTCCTTGCACAAATTCTGTCAATTTGTATTCCTAGCACAAAACTACATTCAGATAGCGGTCTGTATTTGTACAGATCTGCCCAAAATTCAGTGAAAAACCCTGCTCCACTACTAAAAACAGTGGGGAGTTGTATCCTATCACAGCTGTCGTGAAAAACCCTGCTCCACTACTAAAAACATACTGAGTGGGAAGTTGTATCCTATCACAGCTGTTTGATAAGTTACCTATAAGATACATGTTTATATATGTTGTTTGGTATACACCCTATTCATTAGGTATACACCAATTGTGTTTATCTTAGATATATATCTCATATGTATGAAGGTCCACAAAAGTTTAATTACTGGAAAGTGAAGCAGGAAAAAGTGGGATGACCTGGACCAATTTAAAGTGGCAGAGTTACAAAAACATCTAGGGCAATTAATTTTGCCTCTCTTCTCTAAAGACTTTCCAGCACACAAAATACCTTGGCTCCTCATAAATATTTAGATAAGAAGACAAGCTAGAAGTGAAGGGGGGGGGGAAAAACCACTTCCTGGAATGTCAAAAGAGAAGGCTTTAAAGTTTGTTTACAAACACACCACTTCCCTGATGCATATATTCTCCATTAGCCTGGTGCAAGCAGAAGAACACGAGTTTGGAAAATATTTTAAACAAAAAACATTGTGTGTATGTGTGTGTGTGTTTACAATCACTAAGCAATTGTTTATGAATTTGTGTTCTTTCTGAAACTGAGGCCACATTATAGCAACTGATATGAAGATAGCCATTTTGAATAGCAGGCAATTGCAAAATGCATTAAACATTCACTCATGTGAATGTCTTCACTCCAAACCCAACTCAATGTGTTTTACACACACAAACTGAACCCCAAATATAGTGCCTAAAAACACCTGGCAGAGGTTCCTCAGTTAGAAAAGACTGAATAATGAATATATCCACACACTAAACAAAAATCCGCTTGTTGTGTTTCATGAATATTAGGACCAATTGTAAAGACAGTGCTGTGAGTGAGACTAGAAGTAATGAAAGCCATTACTATAAAAGAACTACAAGCATCACATGGAAAAATATATTTTTAAAACTGTTGGTGAAACTAGCCAATCTGATGGGTATTTGGTGGTCATCGTCCAGACAGCTAACAGTACCTAGATATTGTTGTTACACTTCTCAAGTTGAAAATGGACAGGGGATGTGAAATACATGTTACAAAATAATATTTCAAAAAATAGGAACCGCAAGTGCATTTACCACACTCCTAATTCCTTACAAAGCAAAATATATTATTTTTTCAGAATAGTGAATACTATTCTGCTGCGTAAACTGACATCTGAGGCCTTACTAAATGAGATGCTCATCCCAAAGGAAGCAATTGTTTACATTCCAATTATTCCAGTGGCAGTCACACTTCTGCTTACAATATGCTTCCTCAGTCACACTTTTTTGCCACTTGAGGGAGTCCTGCTTCTTAGTATGGGATCAGCTTCTCAGCCTTCCTTAATGAAGGGTACCTTCCAGATGTTTTGGATTAACAGTTCCCACTATCTGTGATTGCAGATCATGCTGGCCAGGCTGACAAGTGCTGTGGCCCAAACCCTTTGGAGAGCACCATGTTGCAGAAGGTTGAAATAACATTCAGCTGTAACACAACAGTTCCAGATGAGAAGATACTGATCTAACATTTGTATGCACCTTTACAGACTGCAGTATTTTGCCTGGTAGTAAATACCACTGCATATAATAGGCCTAATTCTGTATAACATATACTATAGGACTGTGTTATGAATTGCTTTTAGTAGTTGATTATTACAGTATTTTAGATACAGAAACTTGAACATCTAGCTTTCAAGAATCATTTTCTATAGGAAACGTGTTATGTCCTTTGTATGTATGTAGGAGGACTTCAACAAAGTTTCATTAAAGATCGAACCTCATGATGCCCGTTTGATAAATATTCTGCACAAGAGAAACCCAATCTGAAGGTAAAGTTATTTGAAGATTGGTAAAAATAATGACGTTTTATAAGTTCAAGCTCAAGTTCTCATATGCCTTGTTTATTGTCTTTACAGCCAACGCTGTTAGGCCACTCAGAACTGTTGTGTAATGAATGCATTTCTCATTTCACTGATATCTTGTTCCTCAGGTGCTTAATGCTGTACTAAACAGCAGAAAACATAACATAAATATTAAAAGATTTTTTTTCCTAATAGGAAGATGAACAACTAATCATAGGTTAGGAATCTATGTTTGAACTGTTTTTAATCACAAGCATAAACCAATCTTACAGGATTAACACCCATTAAAAACTACGTGAAAAACAGAGACCTGTCTGAAAGGCATCCTATCTCTCTGGAAGTTGGTAATCCACTGGTGTGGGGAGAGTACAAGGCTGGAACATGCTGGAGGGAGACCTCCAAAGTTCTTCAAAGGCTACAAGCAAGATACAGACAAGGATGCCCACTGAAAACAAGATGTTCAGTTTTGAATTGCTTGTGATATGGGAAACCTTTGTCTTACTAATGTGGAAATTGATCATTCTGACACATTAATGGCTGAAAATTTCATTTCAGTTAGCTAGAGAGCTCCAAGGTTATAGAGACTTTGCAGAGGCTGGACTGCCCCCTGTAATTAGCGTAAAAAGAAAAAGAGGAAGCAGTAACAAAAGACAAATTAAACAAATCAGAAGTACCAAACATAAAATGAATGGACCTGCCAGAAATAAAATGAAAATGGAACCCAATGGATATTTTTCACACCATCTCCCATTTGTGGGACTCCCAACACCCTTCCCAGTGCAGCAAATGTTCCTTAATGTGTTATTTTGCACATATTAGCTAAATAATAATAATAATAATAATAATAATAATCATCATCATCATCATCATCATCATCATCATCATCATCATCATCATCATCATCATCATCATCATCAAGAAGGGGGATGTGCTATTCTATTTCTCCACATCTTAGCAATATTCAGAAGAAGGGACAGTCTGTTATATGTGGAAAAGCTACATGTGACTGGTGACCCTGGAAAACCTGAGTCTTCAAGTTGCATGAAGAGGCTCCATGTGTTGAGGAGACTCTCCTCTTTGGGCTGCTGCTTTGCACACAGAAAAAAAAATAGGGGAAGAAAGAGAGCTAGCACTCTCCCTCTGCATTCAACTTTGCCAGAGCTGCAAGGAAAGCATAGAAGAAGAGACAGTGGGAAGAAAGAAGGTGAAGGTGCTATATTACAAAAGGAGAGAAAAGGGGGAACTGTGCAAGAGTGTAGCTCATTGTGAGTTATTTCTATAATGATAAACCAATTACTTTATCAGTGGAAACCACTAAAATAAATATAGTAGAAAGTTTAACATATTTACTGCTATAATCTCTTGAGATATAAGATACATATGTTCAACATCAGATTATGGGCTTTTTGCCAAAGGAACAAATCACATAACACTAATGAGTGTATTTCCACATATTTACTTTGAAACAGTCCTATCATGACATGGCAGCACTAGCTGTAAAAAAGATTATTGGACTAGATATTTCTCTCACACTAACTAACCACATAGGATGGCCTTGCTAAGGTCATAGCATGCACATAAATAAGGTGTGCTCTTATTTTTAAAGCGTTTCAAAATGGATCAGAAATGGCCTTTTTTTAAAAATTGAGAATGGTTTGTACCTCCTAAGGAAAACCCTGGATAGCTCAGTGGCTTAGGGGGTTAAATTCCCCCACTGTGCACCCTGGAAGGGGGCTGTATTCAGTGATTCATAGGGTCCCTTCCAGATCAGCAGTTCAAAGATTATTTCTCAGCTGCAGTAATGGAAAAGACTGGACAAACATGCTGGCTGGAAGTCAGGAAAACTATTTAAACTTCAAATCAGTTCAATAGATTCTT